CCAGAAATCAGGCACGATTTCTGCATCTACTCAGATACCCAGCCCCTGTACTACATAGGAATAGAAACTAACCAGACAGTCAAGCTCACTGACTGACAAAACATCAGTGTGACTGGAAGCTGCCAAAATTAATGTTAGAGGATTTTAAAAGGGGGTGTAAATTTGTTCTTGTTTAATATCTAAAACCTTTAACCTAGGTCCTTCCCCTAATTTTGATGCTTAGTATTCTGCCTTATGGGTGAATTTGTCTGGATAACAGCAATATTATCAAACCCCTGAGATGACGTGGTCTGCATGTACAAATGGTTTGACTAAATGTGCCTCTTCTGATACTTTACAAACTAAGTAGGTTGATCTGGGCCTAAAGATATTAAAACAGATTATCTTGGGGAAATTGTCTTACAAAATTGGAGAGGCTTAGACTTCTCATGAGATAAAGGAAACTATGACTAGCTTTTGGAAAAACTTTTTTCTATTCTAATTGATCAGGAGTAATGAAAAATCTCTTGTCATGGTTGGAAAAAATCTCAAAAAGAGAGAGATAAAGGCATTAATCAAACAATTGGTACCAATCTCTCATCTCTTGGTCTTCCTGGCTAACTGCTCTGCCATCTGCACTGGCTGTATCTTTCTCATTCTGATTAGATTAATTTTGAGGCTCTGTATCTTCAACTATATGACCAATTATGTATCTGTTCAGTAAAGCTACTAGTCCTTAGTGCCAACCACTTCTCTTTAGAGCAGGATGAGTCCACTATTTGATTCATTCAACAAGACCAGTGAGAAAAGTAACAGTGCTCCAGACCTTAGCACAACTGACTCCTTGACGGAAATACCATTCAGGCCATAAAACTCAGTAAGTAGACAGTACTATACGGCAAAAATGAAAACAAAGACTTAATCCAAGTCATAGTTCTGGGAAAGTCTCTAAATGTACTAACCTTGCTTTTTGTCTTTTGTAGTTCAGCTTCTGGGTAACTGTTCTTGTTAACTGAAGTGTGTCAATGCAGAACATGTCTTGTGTGTATGTATATATGTATTATTCTTTCTTTGCTAAAAATTTATTTATTTATTCATTACAATCTATCCACTTTGTATCCTGTCTGTAGCCCCCTCCCTTGTCTCCTACCAGTCCCACCCACCCTTCCTCTTCTCCACCTATGGCCCTTCCCTAGTGCACTGATACGGGAGGACCTCCTCCCCTTCTATCTGACCCTAGCTTATCAGGTCTTATCAGAGCTGGCTGCATCATCTTCCTCTGTGGTCTGGCAAGACTGCACCCACCAAGGGGAGGTGATCAAAGAGCCAGGCACTGAGTTCGTTCATGTCAGAGATAGCCCCTGCCCCCCTTAACTAGGATACCCACTTGGAAACTGAGCAGCCAATGGTTTCCTCTGAGCAGGGGGTCTAGTTCCTCTCCATGCATGGTCGTTGGTTGGAGTATTGGTATCTGCAGCTGAATGAACTTAAAGTGTACAGGATTAAACCAAGTATGGTGGTATTGGTGTGAAATCTGAGCACTTAGGAGGATGAGGTAGAAGGATGACAAGTTTGAGGCCAGCCTGGGAAGGAGGGAGATAAGTCAGAGATGCCTGAAACAAGAAACATTCTTTCCATTTATTGTAGAGGGAACGAGATCACAAGAGATTAATCCTCACCTAAGTTTAAGAACCAGATAATTGGGAGGTAGAGGAGGCCTCACTGTCAGACATTTAGACTGGCATCCTTTCTCACATTTCATACTAGCTGCCTATATTATCACGAGGGCCGAGGGAGGAGGCTTCAGCTGGGATTCAAAGTAAATAAACTGTAATAAATAAAAAATAAAAAAAATTTAAATGAAACAAAAATTTTAGCTAGAAGGGTCAACAAGATGACTTGTTGGAAAAGGAACTTCTTGCCTGAAGATGGAAGCTAGACAAACTGAGTTCAATCCTTGAAACTTACATAAAGGTGAAGGAACTGATTCCATCCACAAAGAAGCCCTTTGCCTTCTACCTACATGCCATGATACATTCATATATACAAGGATGATAATTTTTAATTAAAAAATAGCTTGAAATCTTATGAAAGAAGTGGGAAACAGTAAGATCTGGAGAGGACAGGAGGTCCACAAGGAGAGCAACAGAACCAAAAAATCTGGGTACAGGGGATCTTTTCTGAGACTGACACTCCAACAAAGGACCATGTATGGAGATAACCTAGAACCCCTGCACAGATGTAGAGCATGGCAGGTCAGTCTCAAAGTGGGTTCCCTAGTAAGAGGAACAGGGACTGTCTCTGGAATGGACTCAGTGGCTGGCTCTTTGATCACGTCCCCCTGGAGTGGGAAGCAGCCTTACCAGGCCACAGAGGAAGACCTTGCAACCAGTTCTGATGAGACATGCTGGAATGCGGTCAGATGGGCTGGGAGGAGGACCTCCCCTATCAGTGGACTGGGGGAGTGGTATGGGAGAAGAAGAGGGAGGAAAGGTGGGATTGTGAAGAGATGAGGGAGGGGACTACAGCTGGGATACAAAATGAATAAATTATAATTAATAAAAAATTAATAAATTAATAAAATAAAATCCAGTAACTAAAAAAAAATAGCTTGAAGTTGGACATGGTATCATACAACTTTAATCCCACCACTTGGAGCAAAGAGAGGTGAATCCCTGTGAGTTCAAGACCAACTATGTCTAGATGATGAGTTCCAGGACAGCCAGAACTACTTGAGACCCTGTTTCAAAAAAAAAAAAGAAAGAAAGATTAACTTTAAGCTCTTGGCCTGAAGCAGAAATAATAACAAACTTAAATTATCCAAATACAGAAAAAATGGACCCGCAAGATGGCTCAGCAGGTAAAGGGTATGAGTACTAGCCTGATGACCTGAGTTTAATCCCCAAGATTTCATGATTCTTATGCTGAAAGGTAAGACTCCCACAAGTTATCTGTCCTCTGTCATCTCCATATGCAGACTGTGGTACAAATACACACACAGACTAAAATTTTTAAATGTGAATAAAATATTTTAAATATGGAAGAAAATGAATCATGAACTAATCATTACCATCCTCTGGAACTAATTCTTTGCATCTTTCTCTTCTTATATATAAGATGAGTGAATCACATTGCTAAAAGATTATTATTCAGATTTTTATAAAGTACATTATTTTAAGTTAACATTTTATAAAATATCAGCAGCAACAGAAAGCAATTATACTGTCTTTTTCCAAAACTGCCAGCCCTTCAAAGTTGGAAAGGTCAGCTATGTCTAAAGTGTCATTCTGAATTTGTCAAGTTAGAATTTAGTAGTGCAGCCTTTATAAAAATATTGATGTTCCTCAAAAACACAGAAATAGATCTGCCATATGATCAGGCAACCCCATTACAGGGTATATACCCAAAGGAAATGAAAGAGACAACTGCTTATGAATATTTTTTGCAGAATTATTCACGACAGCCAGATAAATGGATAAGGTAAATATATCATATATGGGAATATTATTTGGTCACAAAAGAACAATATTATATTCTTTGCATGTGAATACCACCAGAGGACATTATGTTAAGCAAAATCAGTCAGGCCCAAGAAAAACAAACATTGTGTGTTCTCATTTGTATATAGAAGTTGAAAAGTTGATCTCATTCAGGTAATGTGTAGTGGTTACTTGCAATGGAAGTTTTAGTTTCTTTAAAAAGAAATGTTATGGGGGATATGAAGTGAATAATGTGTAATTAATAAAATAAAATAAAATTTAAAAAAATGTTATGTTATGTTAATATGTTTTTGTTTTAATCCCAAGTGTGAGATTTTAGTTTGAGCTTTAGTTTGTCCTCAGCTGACTATTGTCTCCTGGGGGTGTGGTCTTTGCCAGCTGGTACAGGCCTGCCTCATGCAGCCCAGAGAGGGGAGTGGTCTAGGACTCTGAGGGATATAAACATGAGAGCCCAGAAATAGAAAAGCAGTAACAGTTTAAAGAGACCAGAGATGGATGGTGTGGTGATTTGGAGAGATACTAGAGAGATGCTCTGTGGAACAGCAGCTTGGAGGAGACTACTTGCTGCCTTTGCTGTTGCCAGATTGGCACAGCCACAAAAGAGCCCCATCGACCCTATACAGCTGGAAGAAGTAAAGGAGTCTGCGACCCTTCTCCCCACTAACCTTCTCTCTATTACCTAGGATTGAGGAGTTGGAAGAGAGAGGCTTTAAGGAACCCCCAAATACAAAAGTTTTTATAAATGAGTTACTAGAGCTTTAGAAGAGATTGCAGCAAGGATGGCCAGTGAAATAGGAAGAATAACTCTCATGTCCCACAGCACAACAGTTAAAGTGCTATTAAGGACACATATATTCTGAAATAAGTACAGAAGTAGGGTTTTTGAATGTTCCTAACACAAAAAGAATGATCACTGTACACTAGATACATGTGTTGAAATATTATTCTCTTACTCATAATTATGTATCATAATGTTTCAACTAAAAGAGACTATATTTCAGAAGAAACAAAACTAATAATTCTTATAGTAAAAGAAGACACCAACTTACTTCTTAGATAATGTTTTTCTTGCTATAAAACAGCATCTAGTCTCAACCTTCCTAAAAATTACAGAAGTTCCTAGTTTGCTTAATGTGCTCACAGATTTTTTTAGATGTATCTGTGTTCAAATATGTTTCCCAGGAACTTATATTAGAAAGTGAAGCAGAGTTTTTAAAGTTATTTTATTATTTTGTGTGACTGTGTTGCATATCTATGCCCATGTGCATGCAGTGCTGCCCATGGAGACCAGAAGAGGGCACCAGATTTCCTGGAACTGGAGTTCTACAGTGGTGAACAGCCACATGGGTGCTAGGTATCACACTGCGGTCCTCCGAAAGAGCAGCCGTAACTCCAGAGCATGAGACAGGAGTTTACAGGCAAGCACTCAACCTTCCGTGAGCTAACACGCCTTACATACACCCAGGGAGGGGGCTTTCAGATAGGACAGTGCTGTCCTCATCGTGACTTGGGAATGAAGCTCAGCTAACAGGAATTCACCCTGGAGAAACACGGATGCTTTAAATGAGGCCAGTTCCTCGCACAAGACACAGAGCATTTTTTTTAAAGTGATATCCCCAGAGACGGCACAGAAAGACCTAAACCAAAGCGAAGGACTTGGATCCTCCGTCTGGTGACGGCAGGCCTGTTATCCCGGCGCCTGGGAGGCCGGTTTGGACGACAAGGTCAGACCCTGTCTGGGATTAGACCCAGAACCATTCTCAAGCCTCCTCAGGACGCATGCCCACAGTTAGGCAGGAAGACTGGTCACAGCTCTCGCGGCTGACTGAAGCCAAGGGACTTCTGAAACCTTCGCCTGAAGCAGCCACGCGGCTACCGTAGCCGGATATCGATACCACAGAGCGGAAACAGGGACTCCGAGTCCCATAACCCTTGTCGCCGCCGCCGCCGCCGCCGCCGCCATTAGCGCTGTCGACGCCATCGGCGACGCCCGCTGTCGCTGTCACTGCTGTCGCCGCTGTCACCTTCCTGCCGTCGCTGTCGTCGTCGCCGCCATCGGCAGGCCGTCGCCCTCGCCGCAGCCGTCGCCCTCGCCGCAGCCGCTGCCGCAGCCGAGGCCTTTGCCGCCATCGACGCCGCCTTTGCCGCCATCACCTCACCGCCGTCGCCGCTGACCAGGGATCGTCCGGAGCAGCGTCAGGCCACGGTACTGGTGTTACTTGGACCTTATTAACTTGTTGAAATGGCTCAGTCAAAAGGCCTGGCCTTGTCTTTAGACGAGTGCCATTGTCTCATTTGTATGGAATTCCTCATCGAGCCCGTAACTCTGCCTTGCAACCACACGATGTGCAAGTTGTGCTTTCAGGTACTTCTGCAAAACGAAAATTTGTCCTGCCCTTTCTGCCGCTGCTGGATCTCTTCTTGGACTCCATATGACATCTGTGTGGACAGTTTTATCAATGAGGAACTGTGGGAGAGGATTCAAGCTCAGTATCCACAGGAATGCAGAGGCAGGGCATCACTGGTCTTCAAAGATGATTCACCTGTTCGAAAACTAAGCAACCCTGGGGAACTGAGGAAAGAATATGAAGAGGAGATGATGAGGATGGAGGCCGAGCGCCAGGCCACTGAGGAAAGACTGAACAGAGCTAGCGAGGAGTACATAAGAGAGTTATTGGCCATGGACATGGAGGAAGAAAGAAAAAAGGCAGAAAAGCTGAGACTGGAGAAACAACGGCAAATGGAGGAGGAAGAGGCTAAACAGCTCAGCCTAAGAGAATCGGGCACATCCCCAAGAAAAAGAAAGTGCAAACGGAAACATTGTGACAACGTTCCAAAGTCTTCTCTTCAGTCTCAGCCTGTGTCAGCATCGAAGCACAGAGCTGTGCAAGATGGCCAGAAAACATCTGCGCAAACCGACGGTGACGGGAAGAGCCCTACGGGACAAGAAATTAAAACTGAAGAAGATACTCCAGCAGCTACTCTCTCATCAAGTCTGGTGAGTCCAAAACAAGGCACATCGAATCCTTTCAGCCGTGATGGGAACGTGGGCAGTTCAGAAGACAAGGCGCCCAAACCTAGCTGTTCTAACTACAGCATGTATACCCGGTGTAAGAACACTGAACCGGAAGCTGCCGCTGCTCACTCCTCTGACCAAACAGAGAGTGGGAACAGTGGGTCAGGCGTGAAAGAGGAACCTGAAGACCACGCAGCTGAGGCAAAAGATGAAGTATCTCACACTTCGAGCAGAAAGCATACTTCTAAGAGGAAGCATCAGGAACCTGAGGCAGCCAGTAAGCCGGGCATTTCTTATGAAACGCGCCCTGAGGATTCCTCAGATGAGGAACCACAAGACTTCATGACCAAAAGGCTGATTGATTTGGAGAATCTGTATTTTGAGAAGCATCAACAAGAAGAACAAGACAGACTATTCGCATTGGAGCTTCAAAGAAAATGGGATGAAGACCTACAAAGGGAAACGCGGAGGAAAGTGTACCCAAGGAAATATCCACCGCAGTACGAGGCCTTCCATCTAGACACCTCAGCAAAAGACAATTCCAAAGATAAGAACATCTGAAAGGTAATGTAAATGATTTAATATTTAAGTTTACCATCTTTTAAAAAGATGCAGTTGAAGCATTTAGCTAATATTAATGGCAGAAAGATGACATGCTTTACTAGAGAGAATTACAAACATAAGATTTTCAGCCCATTGCCAAGTAATTCACAGAAAAGTATTTTTTGTTTTCAAATGTTTTGAGAGGTAAACAAAATTATGCAGGGGTAGGATGTTTTGAACTAAACGTGCATTCTTTTCTGTGATAGAATTTTTAAGTGTATTAGTAAATATTTAAAATTGTTATCTGAAGGGCACACTTTCACTGTCTTTTTTGATTTGCTCTTTTTGAAACAGGGACGCCTGAGAGCCTCCTGCTAGTCTTCTGAGCACGGTATTTACAAGTGTGCATCACTACAGCAAGCTGCATTCATCTTTAATGGACTTTATGATTACAGAGAATATAAATGTGGTTCTGTAAAACTTAAAGTGATAAGCAAGGGTGCCTAGCCTCCATGCTATTAATAGTTGTGCTATTGTTAGCAGGGGTGTTAGGTTTGATAGTTCTTTTTTAATTTTTTCCTATTTATTTATTTTTATTTATTACAACTTATACATATTGTATCCCTAGTCCCCTACCAATCCCATCCTCTCTCAATCTTCCCCCATACCCCTACCTCAGTCCACTGATAGGGGAGGTCTTCCTCTCCTTCCATCTGACCCTAGCCTATCAGGTCTCATCAGGACTCGCTGCATTGTCTTCCTATGTGGCCTGGTAAGGCTGCTCCCCACTCAGGGGGAGGTGATCAAAGAGCCAGATACCGAGTTCATGCCAAAGACAGTCCCTGTTAGCCTAAGGGACTAAGGAGACTAAGCTGCCATGGGCTACATCTGTGCAGGTGTTCTAGGTTATCTCCATACACGGTCCTTGGTTGGAGTATCAGTCTCAGAAAAGACACCTGTGCCCAGAATTTTTGGTTCTGTTGCTCTCCTTGTGGAACTCCTGCCCCCTCCAGGTCTTTCATCTCCCCTTTCTTTCAAGTTTGATAGTTCTTATAGATATAAAATGCCTTGGGATTGCTAGACCTTTTGAGGCTTTGTATCCCCAACCCACGGATCGCTTGCAAGTTAAACAAGCTTTTTGGAAGGTTTTTTGTTTGTTGGGTTGATTGGTTGTTTTGTGTGGAATAAAGAGGCAGGGAGATAACTGTTAAGTTTGAGGCCAGCCTCATTTACATAGTAGGTTTCAGAGGGCTATAGGAGAGCCCATCTCAGACAAAATAGACCAAATAAAAGAACAAACTTAATATGGAATGAAAGGGCTAGAGGTATAAGTTAGTACTAAAATGCTCTGAGTTCCAATTGCTGGTCTGCAAAAACAAAAATAAAATGGTGAAAAAGAAACGGATAGGAATATAGGAGTTTACTCCAAGAGAGTAACCATAAAATATTTTATGGTTAAGGAATTTGAAATAATTACATTATTTCCACATAGTATTCCTTCTGTTGATACTACTTTTTATATGTATTGAGACAAATAGTAAGATATTTAGGGGCTGGGTTTGGTGGCACAAGCCTATAATCCCAGCATCTAGGAGATTGAGACAGGAGAACCACAAGTTCAAGGCCAGCCCGGGCTCCATGGCAAGGCCCTGTCTCAAAGTTTTAAAAATACGAGTTGGGAATTTAGTGCAGAAGTAGCATAGTTGACTATATGGCGTAATATCCGGATTTGTATCCTAGTACCAAAACAAAGAATAAAATAAAAACAAAGAATAAAATAAGTATGATAGTTGTGAGCTAGTGAAGTATCCAGAGATTGCTCTGTGGATGGGGACTAAAGGAAATGGGGGCCCAGATGGAAAACACTGAAGAAGCCAACAGACATTAGATTCCAGCCTCCACCTGTCAACAAGAGCCTGATGGTAACAACTCTCCAGGGAACACTTAGATCTTCAGCAACTGATGGAGACTGCCAGAAGCTGCCAGAAGACACTTTTCTGTCTATTGGTTTGGTTTTATTTCATTAATATGAACTTTTAGTAGATAGTTGCAACATTTCTAAGAGTCACTTATCCTTTTTGCTTTTCATTTAACATTTTAATTAGCTTTAATTAAAAGTTTTAATTAGCTTATAACATTGTAAGTTTCCTTTGGATATCTTCATGCATAGTTTTGGTTGACCCCACTCTCAACCACTCTTCTCCATCATCTCCCTGACTCCTCCTCCATCCCCTCCTCTCCTCCATTTCCCTGACATTTACCTCCCCAACACACACACACTTAAACCCACCCTCAGTAATCCCCCTTCCATTTTCATATCTAGTGTTCTATTGCCCTCCCTACCTTAAAGCTTCATTTCCCTTCCTCTAAAGGAGGCCATTTCTAGTTTCCAGGCCTGTACACACACCCACTCTCACATGAATTTATACAGATAAAACTTAGAAGCTAGGATTCGTGTATGTAGTGTCTGTCTTTTATGTCCTATGGTTAGTCTACCTTATGTTTCTCAATGATTATTTCAATGTGCTCTCCAAAATTTGTGGATTGTTAATCTTCATATACTTAATGTTATCTGTATCAATTTTACTGGATATATTTAATTTTTTGGAATAGCTGGGGATAGCACCTAGGACTGTGCAGATATCGGGCATGCACTGCACCACAAAGTGTATTCCAGCCCTCTGGTGCCAATTTCAATTTTTGTTTTTAGAGACAGTGTTTCTCTGTGTAGCCCGGCTGTCCTGGACTTAATTTGTACATCAGGCTGGTATGGACCAGGGTCTCCTTGAACTCACAGAGATCTGCCTGCCTCTGCCTCACCCAGCGCTGGGATTACAGATGTGCACGACTGCGCCCAGCTCCCAATTTTACTTTTGATTTGCATTTTCTCATTAAAAAATATCCTTTGAGCAATGATTGTGATGATAATGTAGTACTGATTGGAAACTAACAAAATTTTTCTAAAAGACAAATATCTCTTCTCATCACATCAATATTGTTTCTAAGAGCAGTATTAGTATTAGACATTTTTGGAGCCTCTCAAAATAAAACATATGTAATTAAATCTTTTTAGACTAGACAAAAACTAAAATTTAAGAAGGCTATATCGTGATATATTTAGGATTCATATTTTTGTTTGTGAAGAGGTCTCCCTAAAGTTCATTTTAAGATATATTTTTCTCTATTAGTCTTTGCTTTTTCTACCATATGTGAATTTGTTAGACTAATAAAAATATCTGTGCCAGTGATTAGAATGCACTACCAACCTTTTCGCTTTGGTAGAATACAAAAAAATACTAAATTTCCCAGTGAAAACTAAAGCTGTACACATGTTAAGAATATAAAAATTAAAGGAATAAAAATTAATAAAAAAAATGTCCTCATCTATTTCTTTGAGACAAGGTTTCACCCCAGACTGTCCTTGCAAATTACTATGTAGCTGAGGATAACTTCATCATCATCATCATTATTGTTGTTGTTGAGACAGAGTCTCACTATGTAGCCCAGGTGTCCTGGAAATCCCTATATAGACTAGACCGGCCTCAAACTCAGGGATCCACCTGCCTCTCTGCCTCCTGAGTGCTAGGATTAAAGGCATGTGCTACCATGCCGAGGTTGACTTTAAACTTGATCCTCCTGCTTCTGTCACAAGGTTGGAGGGTTACAGGTGTATACCACCATACCCAGGTTACACAGGGCTTCACGCATGCTCTACCAACTGAGCTACACCCTCAGCCCCCTCAATTATTTCTTTTTTTTTTTTTAGTTTTTTGAGAAAGAGTTTTTCTGTGTAGCCATGGCTGTCCTGGACTCGATTTATATACCAGGATGGTACTGAACTCACATAGATCTGCCTGCCTCTGTCTCTGAGTGCTGGAATTAAAGGTTTGCACCACTGCATCTCCCAGCTCCCAATTATTTAAGGAAGAGAAACAAAGCATTCATAATCTAGAAATAACTTGTCTTTTAAAGTACGCTTTAATCAGAAAGACACACATGGTATGTACCGACTTACCAGTGGATTTTAGCCATGAGGTACAGGATAATCACACTGCAACTTACAAACCCAAAGAAGTAAAAAGGAGGACCCAAGAGAAGATACTTAACTCCCACTCAGAAGTAGAAACAGAATAGACAGAGGAAGGGCTTGAAGAGATGGAACAGGGTAGGACCCAGAAAGAAATGAGGGTCAATATCAGACCTTGGAAGAGTGCAGGTGGGAAGACAGAGGGCTCGCAAAGAGACCTTGGACGAGGACTCCTGTGACAAGCCAGAGACCTATGACAGGGTAGACTCCTGGGAAGATATTAGGGTGACTCTAGCTGAGACTCCTAGTAACAGGGGTCATGGAGACTCAAGAGGCCACCCTCTAACTAGACATAACTTGTAGTGTAGAGAGGGGAACACCAACCCACCCACAAAAAGTTCAACCCCAAATTTACAAGGTGTGCAAGGATAAAGATAGAGAAGAGATTGAAGGAATGTCTAACCAATGACTGGCCCAACCTGAGACTCACCCCATGGGAGACAGCCAACCCCTGACAGTGATTAACAACATTTTGCTGTGCTAGCATAGCTGTCCTCTGAGTGGCTTCGCCCAGCACCTGATGGAAACAGATGCAGGACCCACAACTAAACATTGGGTGGAGTGCAGGGAGTTCTGTAGAAGAGTGGGGGAGGAAAGGATAAAGGACTCAGAGGGGAACTCTACAAGAAGACCAACAGAGTCACATAACCAGGACCCAGGGGTCCCGTGGAGACTAAAGCACCAACCAAGGACCATGCTCGGACGAGACGAGAGGTAAGACTCCTACACAGATGTAGCTGATGGGCAGCTCAGTCCTCATATGGGTTCCTTAGCAAGGGGAATGGAATGGGGGCTGACCCTGACATGGACTCTGTTGCCTGCTTTTTGATCACTTTCCCCTGGCTGGGCTACCTGGCCAGACCACAGGGGAAGAGGATGCACTTAGTCCTGATGCGACTTGACATGCTGGTGATGGTGGGGGAGCATGGGGGCTCCCATTCTCATTGAGTGTAGGGGGAAAGGGAAACAGGGAGGAAAGGTAGGACTGGGAGGAGAGGCAGGAGGGGGCTATAACCAGGATAAAATGAATAAAAATAAGAAAATAAAAATAGACTATGAAAAAAGTACACTTTAATCTCATCTACTGAAAAACTTGTATTAAAATAAAACCAACTTTATTTTCTATGCTTGAGGTTGAACATTTCAGGCAAGCAATACAGCCGCAGCACAGAACTCAATACTTGTATTGGTAAATGCTAAAAAAATTGGGGTAAGCTTCTGACACCCAAAATCATTTGAAACGTTTAATTAGAAACAAAGATGCTATTTATTTTTAATCTCAGCAGGATTCAAAGAAAGACAGTTAAAAATGTCATTTTATCTATTGAATGACAAAAACATTTTTAAAACAAAAGACAAAAAGCAGACAAAGTCTGGAGTAACTTTGGACACATAACTAAGTGTGCTTGGCTGTTGTGGAATTCTCTATCTTCACTGTTTGCACACTGTTTGGCCTAGGGAGCTTACTTGTTCACATTTTTCCTGAGGAAAGAATTTAGGGGCCAAATGTTTTAGGTGTTTAGGGTATTTCTTAAAACACTGTGCTTAGAATAGAAAAATAAATTAATTCCAGAAAAAGCTTCAGTGTACACCCTCAAATGGTTAGTTATGCATACAAAAAGATACATAGTCGATCTCTTAAATTTACTTCCCTTAATGGGGACCATTTAGCCATCTAGCTATAGGTACCCATGTCATACACAGATCTACGAAGCACAGGACCAAATGGCCAGGTGAATCACCAGGTAGTAGTACAACTTGATCCCATTCAATTAAACTGCATACTTCAGAGTGAGTTGTTTGTCCCCATGACTATTCATGCCAGATATGTTATAGTGACTATGATTTTAATGAATATTATATGAATGAGTTTTAAAGAATCCCAGCTCATTCCAAGGCTGAGCTGTGTTTGATTTTATTAATCTAGAAGCCTTACTGAAGGGCACTGCTAGAAATTTCTTTCATCTTCTATTGTAGCTTCTAATTTGCTCCCTACTCTTCTAAATTGGATCAGATTCCCCTCCCATCATGTAATAAACTGTCTTGAGTGCAAATTCGTGGCCCTGGCAGAACACATGCAAGTTTCTGGGTTTAACCTATGACACCAAAAAGGGAAAAAAAGAAAAAAGAAATGGGTGTGGAGAAGAAGAAAATAATAAGAGCTGAGGAGAAGGAAGAACAGGGGGTGGTGGGTAGGGGCGGGGAAAGCAAAAAAGAAAGGGAATGCTTCCCTTTGAGTTCCCAGTGGGTGTAAAACCTCCTGCTACATTTCTTGAATGTAGCATGCAATACTTCTCAAGAATACCCTGTACTCAAGGTCTAGCAGTCCACTTCTGAACTGCTGGACCTTGAGCAAGGCACTTAACCTCCATATGCTTCAATTTCCTGAGTGGCTAACCCTATGGGGCGTTCCATATCCTGCCTCTCTGATTCCTGGAAGAAATACGATCTCATATAGGCCAAATGCCTGCCTACATGCAAATGCTTCAGAAGCATGAGAAGGTACTGTTTTCCCCCAAGATATATCCTGCCCGGCTCAAAGCATAGTATCTCTAGTAAATGCAAGAAGCAACAAATGGTTCTGAGTTTCCTCATCAATCTCATCCCTGAACACTTCACGATATTTTCAGATTTAAACTTTCCATTAATCTTTACAGATACCACAGACAGACTTCATGAATTCCTTTATCTCCCTTCCATCTATCTACCCTCCATCAACATTAACACCTTGGGGAGAGAAGCAAAACAAACAAACAAAAAACCAATCATATAGAATTGCTAGCATTTTAGACATCATAAGGAAGTCAGTCAGGCTTAAAAAGAACATCACTCCAAAGAACATGCTCAACTGTATAAAAAGACGTTTGGCTAAAAGTTTTAGCAGACAAGCGTCAGAAGCAACATGGTAGGGTCACAATTCACATCATTATAAAAATTTGTACTGTTTAATCATTTTTTTTTTGACCCGCAGCTCCATTCAGCCACTCACTCTGCTTTTGTGATCATTCTAAAAGCTAAATATAGTCTCATCTATGGAGGGTGAAAAGCAATGCGAACATCAATACTTTCCAGCATGCCTTTATTAGGCACAATGTCACCGCGCAGGGAGTGCTGGTTTGCAACAAGTGAGATCTTCCTAGGGCTCCACAGGGTAGTCCTTTTTCAAGATCAGTGGGACACTCATAGACTTGAAGTGGCGCTGTCCATCTAAATATAACATGGACTCTGAAACACAAGAAGAACATCTCTGGAGAAATTTGCAGCACTTTGAACAGTCATACAGATGAATGACTATTTGGGAATACTAGGACAACACTAAAGTGCAAAACCAACAACAGGGATGCAGTTTGGGGCTGGACCTAAACAACTATTCAAAGAGAGCAGACCCTGACTCCATCCCTTTTAGTTGGCTGCACTACTCTTCCATCATCAGTGGTTGCTTGCAGTTCAGACCAGCTCTGTTTACAACAGCTGTGCAAACCAGCAACAGCTTCTCTGGGGGCCTTCACAGCTACAGAGCTTTAAAACTAGAATCTCCCAAAGACATGCTCCTGAGCTATGAGGCTTGGAGACACTGCTAAGGATAATTTAAAAGAAGAGGGTTAGGAATAGACCGCAGTGGTAAATCACATGTCTAGCTCATGTGACTCCCTGGTTTCAAGAATAATTTAAAAGAAGAGGGCTGGGAATATAGCTCAATGGCAGAATACGTGCCCAACCAAAAGCCCTCGGTTCATTCCCATACCATGGTAGGCGTGGCGGGAAGGAGCAAACATTTTTCTTCAGAATTTTTTCCTCTCATTAGGAAGAAGTAATCATCATAGCTTACCTCCATATGTTTTGGGGAAAACCAAGGGTACTTCTTTTTCCGACATGAATGTAAAATGAAAGATATTGGTGGTCATATGTTCATTAGTCTGAAGAGAGGCTACTTCACTATGTACTCTGACTTGAATATAATTGTTCTGAGTGAAGCATACCTAACAAATAGACACAAGAGTTAGTCAGTTGCTTTAGGAAGGAGGAAGGAAAACAGTCATAAGAGAAACAAAGACGGTAAAAACATTTTTTCTAAACCCAAATGACAAAAAGTAATTTTCACTTCCCATGACACACTTACCTGTGAAGAAAGAAAGAGCAACGATCCAACTTCAACGGGTTTCTGAAACATGATATCATCTACTGTTACCACAAATGGCCGGGAACCACTATTGGAGGAAGGCCAAAGTTGTAATGAATTGCAAAATTCAGGTCTCAAAGGTTTCCCTTAACAATTCACTGATGCGAAATAACAGTCAAAAAATAAATGTAAAGGGAAAATTGTCAAATGCAGCTACTATAAGAATGGTACTCATTAAAGCAATATTGTGGGGCTGGATATCCTCTAAATACGCTGTTTTTAGGTAAGAAATAACCAAGGAATATATAATAAAAGTTTTATATAAAAATTATTATAAGGACTGGAGAGATGGCTCCACTGTTAAAGGCTAGGCTCACAACCATAAATATAAGAGTTTGGTTCCCAACACCCATGTATCTCAGTAATCAATTGGTTTTCCCTGTTCCTAGTAAGGGGAACAGGGACTATTTCTGATGTGAACTCAATGGCAGGCTTTTTGACCTCCCCACCCCCCAAGGGAGGAGCAGTCCTGCTAGGCCACAGAGGAGGACTTTGCAGCCAATCCTGAAGATACCTGATAAAACAGGGTCAGATGAAAGGCGAGGAGGTCCTCCCCAATCGGTGGACTTGGAAAGGGGCAGGGAGGAGATGAGGGAAGGAGGGTGGGATTGGGAAGGAATGAGGGAGCAAGATACAGCTGGGATACAGAGTTAATAAAATGTAACTAATAATAAAAAGAAAAAAAAAGGAAAATATCATTATCAGAGGGATTTGACTTTGATTTCAGAACACTGTTTCTCTGACTTTGTTAGCCTATTAATTAAAAACCTACTGAAAAAAATAAAGCAATATGTAAAAGGGAAAAGAAACAGTAATTTTGGACCTGTAATATCATAGTATCATCTTTTACATTTGCCAATAGTATGATAATCTACCACCACCACCTCCTCACCCCTGCCCCCTGTCCACATAGATATTATAAAAAGCATAATCCTAGAGTGTAGTTCATACCCAGACTGGATTAAAATGTTTCCTTGAAATAAGTTGCTTCTCAGAACTCACCCAAAGCTACAAGCAGTGGTCCATCCAAGTTCATATGCTTTTCTCATAAGAAAACCACCAAAGATCCGATTGAAAATGTTCCGCTCCTATTAAACATAAATGAGTAATAATAAATCAACATTGTCGTTACCCTTATAAAGAAATTAAAATAGCATAGTAAAGGTTGGTCAAATTTTAGATAATTATAATGAGTGTAATCCAGCAAATTCAGAAGATTGCTCACAATGTTCTAGTACCTGAGGGTGACAAATATCCAAGCTCTTGAGTTTTGTATCCTCCATCCACACTGACTTAGCAGGCAAAATTCGACTCTGAAAACTTATCGTCCTGTGTAAGTGAAGATGAATTAAACGCTGTTACTGGCATGTTTTCCATGTTGAGAAGAAAGAGGTTATAAACGCTCTCCATGCATGTATGGCTCTGGAGAAGACGTGGACTGGAATACATCCTCAACTTGGAGTCTCACCATCTTAACTTACTTTGGATCCAGTGTGCTAAGAAACAGTTCATGTATGGTATTCCTCTCCTCAGGACTGGGAGCCACTTTCAGTAATGAGGCGGAGCTCCAGGCAATCCTCCGGCCTTTGTTCACTGAAGTGTACAAGAATGAAGAAGTATGATCAGGACAGTCACTCCACAGCACCTAGGGTGCCTTGCAGCCTACAAAGTATTTCTAAGTTTCAAAATCCCACCAGAATAATTTATACATTTATTCAAGGGAAGGCTGCAGAGAGCACAGAAAATTTCCAGCAATGGAGCAGGGAGGACACAGTGACACAGTAAACTGCTTTCCTCACATGTACAAGGCCCTGGATTCCAAACCCAGCACCATAAAAAACTAACACACAAACAAAAACAAAAATATAAAAGATGAAAAAAAGTTTTTCCAGTGAGTAACTTTTAAAGATACTTATTTATTTATTTATGATTTTTTTTTTTTTGAGACAGGGTTTCTCTGTGTAACCCTGGCCAGCCTGGAACTCACTTCTGCAGACCAGGCTGGCCTCAAACTTAGACCCCTGTCTCTGCCTTCCAAGTGCCAGGATCAAAGGCATGTATCATCTCTACTAAGAGATTTTTTTTTTAATGACTTTATTTTTATTTTATGTGCACTGGTCTTTTGCTTACATGTATGTCTGTATGAGGGTGTCAGGTTCCCCTGGAACTGAAGTTACAGACAGTTGTGAACTGCCATGTAGGTGCTGGGAATTGAAACCGGGTCTGCTGGATGAGCTGCTAGGCCATCTCTCGAGACTGAATATTTTCTTTCAAGTGGAAATTATATCAGTTTAGTATGAGAATACTGGTTATCGTCCTGATCTAGAGCCCTGACCTGACTAGCACTAAAATACACTTTAATTTTATTGAAAATAGCTACGTGTGTTCCAGTAAATGGCCCTAAACCCAAGCACATACTGGCAGCTCTAAGTGGACTAATTGAGTTAAAAAAAAAAAAGAGTTTCTAGGTTATATCCATACATGGTCCTTGGTTGAATGTCAGTCTCAGAAAAGACCCTGTGCCCAGATATATTTGGTCCTTGTGGAGCTCCTATCCTTTCCCCATCAGACTAACTCCCCTTCTTTCATATGATTCCCTGTATTCTGCTGAAGGTTTGGTCATGAGTCTTTGTATCTGCTTTGAAAACACTGCTAGTTAGAGTCTTTCAGATGCTCTCAGTAGACTCCTGTCATACGTTCAATGCCTCTGCTCAGATGTAGCCTGTGGTAGCTCAGTAACCAATTGGTTTCCCATAGTGAGGGGAACAAGGACTATTTCTAACATGAACTCAATGACTGGCTCATTGGCCTCCCCACCCCCCAAGGGAGGAGCAGTCCTGTTAGGCCACAGAGGAGGGCTTTGCAGCCAGTCCTGAAGATACCTGATAAAACAGGATCAGAGGAACGGGGAGGAGGTCCCCCCATATCAGTGGACTTGGAAAAGGGCACAGTGGAGATGAGGGAGGGAGGGTGGGATTGGGAGGGAATGAGGGAGCGGGATACGGCTGGGATACAGAGTTAATAAAATATAACTGATAAGAAAAAAATAAGATTAAAGAAAAAAAAAGAGTACACGAAGTTTGTAGAGAAAAGTGGGCAATGGGTAGGGAGAGAAAGAAATGAGGGGGGGAGGCGAGAGGATTTAATCAAAACACATTATATGTATGTATAAAATTCTCTCAAGAAATAAGAAATAAAAAGATGCTGGGCTTGGTGGCACATGCCTGTAATCCCAGCACTCAGGGATGCAGAGGCAGGTGGATCTCTGTTAAGTTAGAGGCCAGCCTGGCTGATAAAGTGAGCCCAGGACAGCCAAGGTTACACAGAGAAACCGTGTCTCAAAACACCCAAACACCCCAAACCAAACCAAACCAAAAAAATGAAAAGACAAATTGCTTCATGTAATATTGTCTCATCAATAAAACTGTTCAAAGCACAAACTCTATGGGACAAAATATACATTTTTTACTATCAAAAAATTCCTGGCATGAGTAAGACATTTGACTGTTATAAGGAATCCATATAATGTTCAAATATGAAAAAAATCTAAATAAATATACAAATAGTAGATATTACATATATAAAGATATATAGTAAAATTAA